TTAATATATTCAAATGAGTAAAAAGGAGGGAAGGGAAGGGAAAGGGAGAGGAAACAAACTCTTAGGATTTGTATATGACACTTTTCACTCATGATCTTTGCACATTTGAAAAGCTTAGTGTTTGGTAAATTGGCAAGAGCACATTTAAAAAACTAGAAAAATATATTTAGACTATTCACAAGACACCATTATCATTATCCTAATGTGTATATATATATATATATATATATTCTCATCTCTTATCTCATTTAAGGGTTCAAACTTTTTCTCTTTTCCCTCTAATTTGCTTTCATACTCCCTTCAGTTTTTTAAGCTAGGCTAGTCATTCAACTTTATGTAGACTAAATTTTTTATTAGTAAATTGATAAGTCTAAAATTTATACATTTTTTACATATCTTTTAATCTTAAGTTTTAATTCTTTGAGTTGTCCGGGGCTTATTTTATTTGATTTTACATATGCTTAATTCTTTTTGTGTAGATAAGGACTACATTGCAAGAAATTAAAATTTTAAGACCATACTGAAGAAATCAAGACTACTAAAATTGAAGTGTCAATTTGTTAAAAGATGAGTGATCCAAACAATTTCACTAATGAAGAGTCAAAATTTGTATGAAAGGCTAAAATCCCGATACAGATTTTCTATTAAAAAATGCAGTGACAGTATTGACACCTCGTGTAGGGTGTCAACGCCTTGGGTAATAATTCAACGTACCGTTTTGGGCTTTGAATGATTAAATTAGGGATTTTGGATCTTTTCAGGAAGAAAACAGTGTTGCAATGGATTTTAAAACTCTTTCCAAAATTTCTTCACTCATATCTTTCCAAATTTACGCAATCAAGTGAAAGAAATCAAAGGTATGATATAGGGCATACAAATTTGGTAAGAGAGGACTTACAAGGTTTTGGAAAAAGAGGAGTAGTAGGTTATTGAGGAAGAATTTTTCTTTTTTTTCTAATGAGAAGAAGAGGAGGCTGCAATGAAAAAGAATGATTCTATAGCAGTAACATTGATCAATTTTGGGGTTTTTTTTTTTTTTTTTTTTGTTGAGAATGAGATTTTCTTTACAATTGGTCTCTATA